TCTCACCCAGTGATTTTCTATTTTTGTTGCCTATTCATATTGAAAAGTTCTTCCTTTTCAGGGACAGGTCTACCTTCTGCACAGTGATTCCTCTGAAGTTCCTGAGTTCTCATGTAATGCAGATAATGCGTACTTGTATATAAGTGATTATAGAGGGGAGGATCACACAAACATTTTTTTTTTCTTCAAACGTTTTACCTGCCATTGTATTTTCATCCCCTCCTCATCCCTCTCTCTTCAAAATTCCTCTCCAATTTTGTCATCTGCTGATGAGGTCACCCACCAAATTCAGCAGTCACTATTGTCACGCTCCTTTGAAATAGTGTTTTATAGAGGAAAGACTGGATTTGGCTGATAGAAGTGACTAAAAAATGGTTACTTCATATGCAACTATTCCTGTTTATGAACTCTGGGATAAATTATAGCTTTCTCGAGTGGAGGCTCGTACTGCAGTAAAGGGTAATAGTCCAGTAAAGGATGCATGCAGCTCATGAGGAATGGATGCTGATGCCTGTAACTCCTCGGCAGGCAGTGATTGCTGTGCTGGGATGGAGACATTGCATTGGTTTTAACTATCTGCGTAGATCACTACAGATCAGTATCTGCTCCTGTTTAGTACACTCCTGCAGCTTCTAAGCTTACTTCTACAGCAAGGGTCTTGTCCTTACAATCAGCTCTTGACAATGCCAAAGCTTACTGAAGACTATTCATATGAATAGTCACAAGTGTTTGTTTCTTCTTGTAGTCCTTTCAAAATGACATCTTAATCAAACACAGCACTTGTTACTAATTTCCAGCAACCTCACTTGTGGTTCAGTATGTGTCTGGTATCGGGTATCTGTTGAGCTAATTCTGTGCTGAGAAAGTAGTTGTGTTAGTAATAACACTCTTGTCATGCATTGTTAAATAGGATTGAGTGCCAACAAGCAAATGCATGTCAAGACTTTGTCTGATAGATTTTAAATAGAGTTAGAATACGTCAGTTAATGTGAAATGCTAGTTCTTCCACCCGTGTGTATAACTGTGTGAGTAAAAGGAGCTAAATAGTTTCCTTGTTAGAAGAGGCATTCAGTAAAGGTCAGTGAACACTGTTCTTATTCCAGCTGAATTTGAACAACTTTCCTGTTGCCCAAACAAAAATGCCTAAATGGTTTGAAGTTGAAACCCATGCTTTAAACAGTATAGTTAAGGATTTTTTGTCATTGCTAACCTACAGAGCTTTTTGAGAATTGCACACTATGTTGGCAAGTTATTGGACCGTCATCTAAGAGACATTAAAGGGGACAGGAATATGTTGCTCATAATCATGCAGAACGTATAGTTCTGTTCAATGTCAAAGTGCGTCATAAATAGTGCAGATACCTAACAAGTAGTCAGTTCTTACTAAAGAAATGTAATTACTTTCATGTGAAAGATTTTACAGTTATGTTCCACATCCCTCGATAACCTCCATAAGATAGAGAAATGAATGCTTATTTTACATAGTAAGAAGGCAAGAAGGTAAAAACTGAATTATGCCATGGCCATAGTTTGAGAACCGGTATTAGAATTCAGAATACATTGTTCTTCCTGATTACTATTACTACACCATTAAGGCCAGGGGACATCATGACACAACACTCCAGAATAAATAAAATGGCAGGTTTCAACTGATAAACCAAATTTCTGCTTTAGCTTTTGCTTTGTCCACAAAGGGTACCTGATTCTTTCTCTGCCTTGTATCTTATAGCAACACATCCATGTATGTAAATTCAGTGTAAAACAGAGCTAGGTGAAATGATAGCATTTTATATTCTCCTTTCCTCATGTGTAAATAAGCAGTGAATCAGATTGCTCTACAAATTGCTGTCACTCAGCAATAGTACAGGTTCACACCTGTGCATTTTCAAACATGCCCAGACAAAGTACACGGTTTCCTATGCCTAATCACTTGCTAGTTTAAGAACACTCTCCATCTGATACCAGGCTATTACGGATACTTTTAAATCTTACTTTGCATTAATGCCAGTCCTCGATGTTCACAAATCAAGTCAGCACACACAATCATGAAGCTGGGTCAAGTCACAAGCCTTCTTTTAAATCTATTGGTTATTCTATATCAACCTTCTTGTGTCTGAGGCTTTAAATGCACCCAGCTCGCATTTTCAGGTTCTCTTCTGCAGCCTTAGTGCTAGATGCTAAATTTTGTTTAGAAAAAGCTAAAATTTCCAGGTAATTTCTATTCTTGTTATTGGAGATTAGAGTAAGACAAAAAGATCCCACATAGAACATAACACATACGATGACAAGAGTTACCAGCACTGATTTTAGACGTTGTACTGTGTTTACTTACAAATTTTTGCATTTTAAGCTTTTTATTTTTCTTAAGGATACTTTTGGTCATTTTCATCACCAATTTTCATTCTGTTTTCTCATTCAGTTTAATTAATGAAAATTCCAAATGTTATCAAATGCTAGTTTCTTATTTTGACTCTCATTGAAACAGCTTTTGCAAATGTGATATTGCCCTATGCAAATTATATTATGCGTTTCAGTAATACATGGTCACGGCTCCCACATTTCATATTTATCCTGTTTAAGTACTATAAAGTAATCTTGTTAAAGTCATATAATAATATATGTTATATATAATTATACAATAATAAGATATAATATCTAATAATATATTAATTGTTCTTCATGCTTCTTCACTGCAAGAAACATTTGAATGAGGTAACTCCACAAAAAAATACGTATCACTGCTGTAATAAAGAAGGATCATTGGTAGTTTTTATTAATATACTTAAAAAGCAGAGCTTACTTCCTTTAAAAATAAGTAGCTAAGCAATGAACCAAAACTCTTTCAGAATAACAGTGGAATTTCGTTGTGTTCTCTGGCACCATGTGTCCAGTGATTGGACTAGCTTTAGATTGCTGGGAAATTTGTCATAGATGTTGATTGAGGTATATTATTGCTACAGCAAGCACTGTTCCAGGAGCTTCATGGAAAATGTAAAAACATGGAATGAAATCCTAGCTCTGTGGAACTCGGAGGCAAAACTCCCACCGCCTTAATTGTGTCCGACTTTTCATTCAGTGGTTTTGGACTCTCATCGTCAAAAGATTTACAAATGGCCTATGTGACCACACTGACCATTCAGCCTTGAAGATCACTGGGGCTACGAATGATATTAACCATGTATGTAAGGTTTTGCATGATCAGGACCACAGTACACAGGCAGAAGCCAAAATAAAGAATAGTCTATCATCCATTTATGTGGAGTTGCACTGGTGTGAATAAGAGAAGAATTTGGTTTTTCAGTGCTTTATTGAGTGATCTTTACCTCAGTCAGACACAGTTTTTTGAGGAGAAAAAAATTACCAGGTAGCTCTCACTGAAGTGGAATGGGTACGGTAACATAACGACTTTCTTTTGCCCTGGTGCTCGCTTTACAGTGCACTATTTTCTAAATCAATTCAATTTTTCATAGCACGTTTGCCTACAGCTGAGGTCTCCAAATGATATGTGATTGCAAAATCTGAAAAACTCTTTCAAACCTTTCTGATAGAAGACAAATAAGTTTCCTGTTGTGGATTGCTTGCTAATAAAAATAATATTGGTGGACTTTAGATTTTAATCGATTACTTCAAATTAATGGTTAATTACACTTGCAGTATTGCATTCTACAACATAGATGAAGCCGTTCCGCAAGGAAAAAAAAGGCTATGTGCAGTGCTTTTCATATTTAACATACACTGACGCATGTAACGTATCAGCGGCTGACTAACCTGACTAATTTCCATGGTTTCATTCAGCTTCACTCTCGAAATTCCTGTGGTCTGCTGAGCAAATAAAAAATATCCCAAATTTAAAACATGACCACCATGAAAGGTTTCCAAAAGATCAGACGTTTTAATAGGATTTTTGCTGTTCATAGGCCCATACATTATGTAATTCAGAAAAAAACATTTCTTCTGAGAGTAGGTCATGTGCTGTGAGGAATCCTCGACACTGAGTAAATGAAATAAAAAGCCCTGTATTTAAGAAAAAAAACCCCAAACCAAACAGATTTTGGACAAGAAAATATTACAGTGATAAGAAAAAGTATACTCATGTTATTGATGATATGTGTGCTTATGGATAATTCAAGACATGCTGTATTTAGTGAGGACATTATTAGGGTTGGCATTCTAGTTGCTAAGTTAATTTGAGACATACAGTTAAATACTAGAGATGCGTGACATTTTTTAATTAATGGTAAACTCTTCAAAAATATAATTTTGGGGGTATTCAATATTTTGGGTTGAGTTAGGCAATGAGTTTCACCTGCAAGGAAAGGAGAGATGCATGAAAACAGTCTGTCTTTTCACTATTTTGGAGGGGGTTGAATTAGAAATATTCATGTTTCTTTCTGACAGTTTTTAAGCAAAACTTTTGTGCTTTGAGTCAAAACAGCATTTTTCATTAAGTCTGAGAGAGCAGGGAAAGTTAACTTCAAAATAGTGTGTAGGCGACATAAAAATAGGAGGGGCTGCAGGTGATTTGACAGAATTAAAGTTCAAAATTATCTTTTTAAAAGTTAGAAATGGTCTAGAAAAACAGAATTAAAACAAAGTTTTGTCTTCATATGAATATATACACATCTTCTACAGAAATCCAAATCTTAGGAATGGGAAGGACCAGAACTTTTCAAGCACAAAATTACAGTGTAAACTTCTGATCTTCTGTATTCTGAAAGCCACAGCGTAAGCAGTCTTCCTCTGCCCTATTCAGGTATTTCCTTTAGGCAGAAATAGCTTCCTTTTTATGGGGCATAAAATATTACTGCTTAATCTCGGCTAAGTGCTGCGTAAAATTGAAGAATATTGATACTAACTACTATTGCAGTAAAGGGGCACTCACGTCCACGGTATGAAAAGGTTTACAGTTGCCGTCTTTGCAGCGTCCTCTTCAAATACGTGTTAGTTCCTGAGGATTTTTAACTTACATCATTCACTGTATTTTTATTTTTGTTTTACAGAGAAATGGTTAATGCATGGTTTGCTGAGAGAGTTCATACCATCCCCGTCTGCAAGGAGGGAACCAAGTCCCAGACTGAAATCTGTGCTTGTCACCAGCCTGCCTGTGCTGAGACCACCAACTCTGGGACGCCAGCAAGGAAAATCTCTGCTTCTGAATTTGACAGACCCTTAAGGCCTATTTTTGTCAAGGACTCAGTAGGAGCAGTGAGCTTCCTCTCTGGCTCTGAAAAGAAGGAACAGATGCCTCTGCAATCTCCAAGGATTGAGACCAGTGCAGGGGATCAGTGCTCAAGACTATTAGAACTTGTGAAAGACATTTCTAGTCACTTAGATGTCACAGCGCTTTGCCATAAAATTTTCCTACATATCCATGAGCTTATAGCAGCTGATCGCTATTCCCTGTTCTTGGTCTGTGAGGATAGCTCTAATGAGAAGTTTCTTGTAAGCAGGCTGTTTGATGTGGCAGAAGGCTCCACCCTGGAAGAAGCTTCCAACAACTGCATTCGCCTGGAGTGGAACAAGGGCATTGTGGGTCATGTAGCAGCTATAGGCCAGCCTCTGAATATCAAGAATGCCTATGAGGTAAACCAGGAAAATTTATCTTGAACAATTCTTGAAAAAAGAAAAAGCCAGCTGTTGTAATATTGCCATTTTAGTATATGCATTTGGAGCTATATTGACTTAAACCAGTCAAGATGCAAACCCGACACCATGGTTTTGGTTATAATACGTGTATTAAAGATACATGCATACACAGAAACACGTAGCTATGACTACTGCTAGAGGAATGCTAACATCAAAATAAATTATGTAAGTTTGACGTTAGCAGTCAGATATCAGCCCCATCTTAACCAGCTATGTGCACACCAGTATTTGCATTTCTAGCTTTGGACACTTAAATGTTTACATTCCTTCTTGTAGAAGGACGTAAGATACTTTTGCACCAAAATGGATGAAACTGTGAGTGTAATTGTCTGCAAAACTGGGAGTCCTGTGATTAAAAATACTCGGAGAATTTTATCACACCTGAGGCACAAAGAGTAGGAGCTGAATGAAAAGAACGGGATGGGGGTTTGAACTGTATAGAGTTCTCCCAAATGAAATGATACTCTGCGATTTGAGTTATTTAATACAAGGCCAGATGAAAAAAGGAAGAGACTCCAGCACTGGGAGAGGACATCTCTTACATCTTAGCTTAACATCTCTTCATTCCAGGCTCTTTGGATATGCTGATTTTGTGCTTTGAATTTAGGGAGGATGGAAATTTTAATGAATTACTTAATTGATTAATTCACTAATTAATAAAGGCATACAGAGCTGAAAATTACCACTTCTGATTGATCATCTCTCAGTTAATCTGAGCGTGCTTACAGTATTAGGTAACATTATGGAGTAGATTTTTTCAGAAGCAAAAAAGAGCGGTATGATTTCATATGGCTTCATTTTCAACAGACACTTGTTTGCTGCCTCAGAAACTGTCTAAACATTTGCTAAATACGTTTCCAGCGGGACATCACCTGTCCTTGTAGTTTAAAAGTTCATTCTTGAATTGGGTCCATCATGCTCAACTTGAAATCAATTACTAGAGAAAGAACAGCAGCCTTTAAAAATAGTCTGATTTATTTTAGTAAGATTTTGAAAAAATCAGAGTTTTCTAACACTATTCAGCTGAAAAAAATGAAATGAGCAATCTCTGGTAAAAGCAAAAACACTAACCACATTCATGAAACTTTGTTCCTCTGTGGTCGTATGCCTTTCAGTATATTTCTGTAATTTCTTCTTGATGATAAAAGCTATACTAGGGATGGTTAGTCCACGTATATGGTTATTATAATGATGGTCTAGGCTCAAGAAAGGCTTCTCCTAGGGTTTGGGGTTTTTTTTGTTCTTTCTGGCAGTTGTATCTGTCCACAGGCACTCATGTTCCACACAAGTTTTTGTTGTTGTTTTAACACACTGATAGTAAGACCTTTATACAATTATTAGCTAGTAATGGAACCTTTGTTATCCTGGGTAACAGTTAAGTCAAATGTTGTACTTCTCTTAACCTTTAAACCAGGGAAGAAAAAGAACTGGTCTTTAGGCAAGTAATCAAATAATGGTGTTTTTTTCTTGTATCAGGATCCAAGATTCAATGCAGAAGTTGACCAGATCACAGGGTATAAGACTCAGAGTATTCTCTGTATGCCGATAAAGAACCATAGGGAAGAGGTAAGTTGCAGTATTGGGATGACTTCATGTAATACTGTTCCCAGCTATGCTAATGCTTTAAACTTTTATTAGCTGTCAGTCATTATCTTACAGTATAAAACCATCTCTTTTTTAAAAAGACTGCTTATGTTTGCTTGGGCTTTAATTTTATCTTATCTAGTTCAGTAATGTAAGCCAAAGGGAATTGTCAAGAAGAGTTTAATCCCAGATGCAGAAGTAGAATATATGTGTTTAACTCTAGAATTGCTGTTCCCGGTTCCTGTACCAAGTATCTGTCAGCATTAAAGTTCTCTGCACACTTATTGGTCTATCTCAGTGCACGCTCAGATTGCAATTAAGCGTTGCTGTACTTCAGCTTAGCTTGTATCCACATTATTTTCTTCAGAGGACACAAATTGGGTTTTATCATTGTCTAAAAGGCTGTTTTTTACATTCTATTAACTCAGCTTATAAGTAATAAATTAAGAAACATGTTAAGTGCTTAACATCAGGCATTGAAAAACACATGGTGTTGATGTGATTCAGAAAAGTCATCCACAAGTCATGTAACTTAGATCACTCCTAATTTAAAACAGTGTGAATCTGCTCATTGAACTCTTGCACACATTTCCCATCCATGCTACTTCTCACAGAAGTTCTCTCTTCCTGAGAGAACTGATGTTTGTCTGATGCTATTGCAGTAGGGAGAATTCTTATTATGGACTAATGATGTCTTCTTGTACTGAGTAGTTGAAGAGTGAATTCAGTAAAGTCAATGAAAGCCAACAAATGGGAAAAAAGTGAGGTCCACTGTTTTACTTAGGGAGTAAGGAAAGTAAGTTTGGGTTTTTTTGATCCTGAATGTAGTAGCCTTCAGCCACATCACCAGTTCTTAGAATACTCACAAAGTGTAAGGCTCTCTATAGAGCATGTCAGCGCTTTAAGATGGAGATTTTCTCTCCTGCAATTCCTTTATCTTTCAGAGTATTTATAGTTTGCTTCCAGGAAGCTCAAACTCCAAAAAGAAATGCTGCCAAGATTGGTTTGAAGACATCATACCTTCTTTTTCTTGCTCTTCCATCTTTTACTCCTCTTACAGAATGTGTCATCTTGACTCTTACTGCACTGAACCTTTTTTTCATTAAATACATTGATTAAACTCTTGATTTAACTTGTTTGGTGAATCTTACTCTAGCTGACCCAGATGACCAGCCAGGATTTCCTTTCTTCACCTACTGCTAATTTTGGTTTAAAATATTTTTTTCAGTTCTTCCAGGGACAGCACTTGATCCTCTCCTACTCCCACTCCCGCTTAAAAGTCTTCCCCTTTCTAACTGGCAGCAGCCACTGCTGGCCCTGGGCCAGCTGATGAGCAAAGCAGATGTTGTGTGAAGAGCTGTCAGGGACCAGTGGTCCATGTCAGGCTGACGCAAGGCTTTAAATTTCACCCAAGCCACCCCATTTTCTTTTTGTTGAATGGAAAAAATGCTATGCTCTGTGTAATAGGGATCAAAAGTGAATTACAAAATCTTGCTGGCCAGGGAGCGTGAAAGTGCTTACTTCTCACCGGGTCCTAATGGTAGGTGGGGGAAGGAATAAGAGCTGTAGTCTCTTGGTCCAATACACCATGACTTACAGGCTGAATAAACCTGCAATGGGCCGTATCTTCAGCTAGCCTTCTGTTCCTAAGTGCATCAGCAAGTGGAAATGAAGCAGGAATTTGTTTATTTTGAAAAGTACAGCCAACCTGAAGTTTGAGGAGAATGTTATGCTCTACTCATATGCAATAATTTGAAGGAGCTAAACTCTAAGATTTCTTACAGGAAAGGATGGCACTTTTTAATTTTTTCTGATTTTAAAGTCTCTACCAGAAGGTTTTTCTCCCTCTCGCCATAACACATGGCTGACATGTTTCTGGACAGATGTTGGAGTCAGCGAATCAGTCCTTAATTTGCCATTTGCATTCTGCTGCTTTTTCTGTTTAAAAAAACCCTAAAACAAAAAAAAACAGAATACTGGCTCCTCCCCGTTAAAAAAAAGTCCCCAAAGCCCCTCTAGTAATACTGAGGCTAGTGAATGCTGCCTTAGCCCAGGATGTCAGCGACCACAGTCAAAAGACGATTCTGGAAGACATCCAAAAATAAACACTGAGAAAGAGTGTTTCTGTTTGTTTGTTTAGTATTAGTACTATTTTTTTTAAACAAAAGAGTCAGTAATTGAGAGGAAGAAAATCTCATGCTGATTATTAAATCCTCTGGGCCTGCTGAAGCATGGAGATTTTTCCAGTAGATGTTTTTCACATTTGCCTATATTTCCATGAGGCATGTGAGAAACCAAAGTCTCACTTAAAAATAACAGCTAGTAAGAAATTCCATAGATGAAAAGAAGAAAACGGGTTGATTCACAGAAGAGCTCATAAAAAGGACCCAGGAACTAGTAGCAATGAGAAAAAAAGCAGCGCAATAAGAGGACTTTACCTCTGCACAGGTGTGCATGAAGGATGGAATTACGTTCACTTAATAGTGAAAGAACTTTTCTCAATCCCATACTCAACCTATTCTTGCTGACAGAAATGCCACAGAAACATAGCATTTCAGATGCAGAAAATCCTGTTGATTATGTCCTTCAAGATCAGATCACGGAGGCTTGTCTAGTGCTAGCTTTATGAAGAGTTCTTTTTCCCATGAAAAATTACGAATGAAAATTGACCGAGCTTTGCATCTGACTTCAGGGGCTTTGAACAAAGTTCTGATATCTGTAAACCCCTGCTGCACAGTCTCTAATAACTAAACAAATTCCTTCCATCCTATCATATGACAAAAGTATTGCCACATGATGCTTTCTGGCATGCAAGGCTGTATCATTTGCTGGTTATCACCATTGAAGAAAACAAGGAGGAAGAAAGGCCTCGGGTAAGCCGAATTGTATTCTACTTCAAAAGAAAAACAAAATGGTTCTAAGTCAAATCATTTAATCATCTATTCCTGTATTTAAATTTGTCATAAGGTGGATGTGAAGCCATAGCAAAGATTCCATTTTGATCATGAAAGATTTTATCTTCTGGTGATTCTTCTGTAAGAGCAGATAGCTGTATACAGTTACCTAGACATCAGTATGTAAGACTTGCTACTTGGATTCTCAATGTGTATCAGAGAACACATCGAAACCTTCAAAACAGTGAATTTTTATCCTCGGTAGTACAAAAGCCACCAATGAAAAGTTAGTATTAGTCAACTTGTACCACAGTTACCATGGTTATTTCTTTTGCAAGAGGAAACTGGTATTGCTGGCCACAGGCTTTAGCTGTAGCTATTAATGCTAACCATTTCAGTGCTACAGTGCTTATACAGAAATCAGGGTTTTACCACTACTGGCAGAAGACCTAAGGTTGTGGCAGTTCAGCGTTGTGTATCTCAAAAAGCAGCTTTTCATTCCTGATGTGTCCTTAAACCTTTAATTTTTCAATACCTTCAAATGGTACTGATTTGCCTTCTAGAGCTCCTGTAATAAAGTCAGTAAATGCAGTGGCAACTTTCTTCTGATTTTGTTTGGTCTTGGATTCAGAGATCCAGAAAAAGGACTACAGAAGTTGTTGCAAATAATTATCACCTTGAATTTCTCCATCTGGTTTTGTAGACATTTGTAAACAGTCATTTTGACAAAATTTGACAGAACTGAATAGGGAATGGAAGTCCTTAGCTTAAACCAACTTGTGGAGTTATGCAGAACTGATACAAGACTCAGTACAGCTCTCTAACTGGTTTGGAATATCTGTAGAATGGATGGTCTCTGATGCACAGAGTCATCACAGCTGCTGTAGAACGTCTACAGGAATGACATAATTTTCTGTTATTTCTGCATTTTTTTCTTTCAGCTCTGCAAAATAATTTCCATAAAATTCTATTTCAGTTTAATTTCTACTAAAATCTGTAGGATTTTCTCATGTGGGTACTTTTAGCTGAATTAACTGAGACCTATCTCCCGGGCTCTGAGTATGTAAGACTGAACTTCCTACTAATTGGCTAGGGAAATGTTTTATTCTGGCAATGCTCACTCCAATTGTTTAGTTTGTTGTTTACTTGCCCTATCTCCTGTCACTGGGAAGCTCTTCCCAACAAATCAGGGGTGCTACTCTATTTACAACAGCCTTTGAAAAGATCCTGTTGAATTTTATTGTATAAAGTGTGACCAGGCATGTTACTGTTAGCCAGCTAAGTTATTTTCTCCCACAGTGAACACTTCAGGTATAACACTTCACGGTCACTGCAGTATAGTGTAGATCTAGCCAAGCTAACTTTAAACAAACTAACTCAAGTTCCAGTAGCAGTCTTGCTGCAGGATTATGGAGATCAGTAATTTGTTTCTTGGGTGGATTTTCAGCTTATGCTGAGACATATGTTATAGTAGCTAGACTGCTGGAAATCATGCAGGCTGCTGCTGGCATGAATGATAGAAGAGGATGTGAAAGTTTTGTTGATTAAAAATGAAAGTCTGTAAATACAGTTCTGTCCTCGCCGGATAATGAATCAAACCTCTACAAGAGCAGGAGAGCAAAGTGAGGTTAAAACCACTTAGTCTGTCTTCTCAAGTGGATATGTTCCCATCTTTAAAATGAGATAAAAGTTGAGTTTCCCTCTTCCTGTTACCATTCTTTGGCTTAATGTCATTTTTCTTCATCGGCCAGCAAAGTAAATAAGAAAATAGATCTTCTTAGGAAGCAAAATTATATTAATTATATTTTTAAGCCAGCTGAAATAAGAACCAACTAAAAAGGGCACTGGCTGCCTGTAGAGCTGCAACAGCTTTCACAGAGTTAGGCCTGTAATCTTAATGCGCAAAAAATTGCAGCATAAAATGATCCAGATAAAATTCAGAGCACAGTCATCAGCACTGAAGTCATCAGTCATCATCTACTGGGAAATACTCTAGGTAGCCTGCTACTTTTACAGGCAGGAGTCAGCTATTGCAAGAAACAGTAAAAATAAAGCGCTGTGATAGTTAGAAGACATCTCTCCTTGTAA